AAGTTCAAAAACAATAAGAACAAAACTCAGGGCAAAGGCAAGTTTGATACAAAGAACAAGCCATCACATTCTACCAACTTCAAGAAGAATTCTCATAAGAAGGGGAAGGGACTTTGCCATGTCTGCGGTGATCCTAATCACTGGGCTCCGAAGTGTCCTAACCGCTTTGAGGAGCGCGAACATGAGAAGAGCGGCAAGTCCGCTAATGTTGTCATCAGTGATACTGATATGAAGGAATCAGGGTACGGTATTTTTCCTACCATCCTTTTAGTATTTCAATCCCCTGATTGGTTAATTGACACCGGTGCCAATGTACATGTTTGTGCTGACGCCTCCATGTTTTCTTCTTACCAGGCAACAGGGACTTCACCCGTGCTAATGGGGAACGGGTCACATGCCATCGTTCGAGGTGTTGGTACGGTCGATCTGAAGTTTACTTCAGGGAAGACTGTGCGTCTGAAGAATGTTCATCATGTGTCGTCCATCAATAAAAATCTCGTTAGCGGTTCCCGTTTATGTCGAGATGGTTTTAAGTTGGTTTTCGAATCCAATAAAGTTGTAATTTCTAAGTGTGGACAATTTGTTGGAAAAGGCTATGAGTGCGGAGGCTTGTTCTGCCTATCTTTGTCAGATATTTGCACTAAAGTTATTAATAATGTTTGCCACAATAATGAGTCTGATATTTGGCATTCACGACTCTGTCATATTAACTTTGGTTGCATGACGCGGTTAGCCAATATGAATTTAATTCTGAAAATCTCTACTGTGAAAGGCTCCAAGTGCCAAGTATGTGTGCAAGCTAAGCAACCTCGCAAGTCCCATAAGACTGCAGAGGCAAGAGACTTGGCGCCACTAGAGCTTATACATTCTGATCTTTGTGAGATGAATGGCGTGTTGACAAAAGGTGGAAAGAGATACTTCATGACGTTGATTGATGACTCCACTAGATATTGTTATGTGTATCTTCTGAAATCAAAAGATGAGGCTTTGACATTCTTTAAAAACTATAAAGCTGAGGCAGAGAACCAACTTGATCGAAAAATTAAACGGCTTAGGTCCGATCGTGGTGGAGAGTATTTTTCCAATGAATTTGATCTGTTTTGTGCGGAACATGGTATAATCCATGAGAGGACGCCTCCCTACTCACCCCAGTCAAATGGGGTAGCCGAAAGAAAGAACCGAACTCTAACTGATATGGTTAACACCATGTTAGACACTTCGGGTCTATCCAAGGAATGGTGGGGGGAGGCGCTAATGACTGCGTGTCATATCCTAAACCGAGTTCCCACAAAGCATAAGACCATGACTCCATTTGAGGAATGGGAAAGGAAAAGGTTGAAACTCTCTTACCTACGTACTTGGGGTTGTTTGGCGAAAGTCAATATACCAATTCCCAAGAAGCGCAAGCTTGGACCAAAAACCGTGGATTGTGTTCTTCTAGGCTATGCTTTTCATAGCATCGGCTATAAATTTTTGATAATAAAATCTGAGGTATCCGACATGCATGTTGGTACGATTATGGAATCAAATGATGCAACTTTCTTTTAGGACATATTTCCTATGAAGGATATGTCGAGTTCATCAAATCAGGAGATACCTACTCCATCTAGTGAGGAATTCACTGTAATTCCTGAACCCACCATTGCGATGGAACACGTTGAGAATCCTGTTGAGGGTAACAATGGAACTCCTATGAGGAGTAAGAGACAGAGGACTGCAAAGTCTTTTGGTGATGATTTCATTGTGTACCTCATGGATGACACACCCAGGACTATTTCAGAAGCCTATGCATCTCCTGATGCTGACTACTGGAAGGAAGCTGTACGTAGCGAGATGGATTCCATCTTAGCTAATGGTACTTGGGAGATCACTGACCGTCCTTATGGGTGCAAACCTGTAGGATGTAAGTGGGTGTTCAAGAAGAAGCTTAGACCTGATGGTATGATTGAAAAGTATAAGGCACGGCTTGTGGCCAAGGGTTATACCCAGAAAAAAGGTGAAGACTTCTTTGATACTTACTCACCCGTGGCTAGACTGACCATAATTTGGGTGCTACTATCACTGGCTGCCTCACATGGTCTTCTCGTTCATCAAATGGACGTTAAGACGGCTTTCCTCAATGGAGAGTTGAAGGAGGAAATTTACATGGATCAGCCAGATGGTTTTGTAGTACCTGGTCAAGAAGGAAAGATGTGCAAGTTATTAAAGTCTTTATATGGCCTTAAACAAGCTCCTAAGGAGTGGCATGAGAAGTTCGAAAGAACATTAACTGCTGTCGGCTTTGTAGTAAACGATGGTGACAAGTGTGTGTACTATCGCTATGGTGGGGGCGAAGGAGTTATTCTTTGTCTGTATGTCGACGACATATTGATCTTTGGAACCAAACTTGATTTAATCAAGGAGGTTAAGGATTTCTTATCTCGCTGTTTTGAGATGAAGGATCTAGGAGTAGCTGATGTTATCTTAAACATCAAGCTGTTGAGAGATGAGAATGGTGGGATCACACTGCTTCAGTCTCATTATGTGTAAAAGGTCTTGAGTCGTTTTGGGTATAGCGATTGCACGCCTTCTCCAACTCCATATGATGCTAGTGTGTTGCTTCGAAAGAATCGACGGATTGCTAGAGATCAATTGAGGTATTCTCAGATTATTGGCTCGCTTATGTATTTGGCGAGTGCCACGAGGCCTGACATCTCTTTTGCTGTGAGCAAGCTGAGTCGGTTTGTGTCACTGTTGAAGCAGAACTCACAGCATTAGACACTGCCACTGTTGAAGCAGAGTGGCTTCGTGAACTCTTGATGGACTTACCTATGGTTGAAAAACCAATACCCCCTATCCTGATGAACTGTGATAATCAAACTGTGATCATCAAGATAAACAGTTCTAAGAACAATATGAAGTCCTCAAGGCATGTGAAGAGGAGACTAAAATCTGTCAGAAAATTGAGGAACTCCGGAGTTATTATATTGGATTATATCCAAACGTCGAAAAACTTGGCAGATCCCTTCACAAAGGGTCTATCACGTAATGTGATAGATAATGCATCGATGGAGATGGGTTTGAGACCCACCGCATGAGTTGTCCATAGTGGTAAACCACTCTATGTGATCGGAGATCCCGTGAAGTAGAAGTGGGAGACAAGCTGTTGGTCAGCTGGGAGGAGAGTATCCCTATATTAATTATCCCACTCCGTGAAGATGCAATACTCTCCTGATCTGCATGGCAGGTTGATACTTATCTTAATGTGTTCCAAGTGGTTTATTCGGGTAAGCAGAGATGTTGTCCAGCAGAACATCTTCTGAGGAACACACCTATATGTATTTGACTATTAACGTCGCATTCTGTGATAATTGGGTGTTCTCTAATAAATTCATGAAAGGCCCTGGAGTATGACGTATACGCTCCACCCGCGGGGAAGCCTTGCGACAGCCCAGTATCAGTCAAGAATTTGTGTGAAACTAGTTTCACAGAAAACTTGTAGTTCAAGGCATAGTCCACTGTTCAAGTTGTGATCTAGTGTAGCATAAATTTCTAAGTGGAAGTTCAACTTCACAGTCTCCACTAAGCACCGATATATAAAACAATGTTTTGGAACTAAATGATGAGATATGCCAATGAGACTTTGTGGGGGATTGTTGGAATTTTGCTAGTAGGCTTTTGGCCCAAAGCCCAACTAAAATTCTGAAATTCTCTTGGCCCATTCATGCACACATGTGAGTGGAGTGAGTGAGGCTAAAGTTTAGTCCCACCCCAGAAGTTGAGAGAGAGTTGCACCTCTTTATAAGGTGAGCTCTTATACCACTTGTATGAGCATGAGAAGAGGAGACCTACACGCGCGCTCCTCCTCCTCGCTCGCCTCTCCACGCCACGCCACGCCACGCCACGCCACGCCACGCCACGCCACGCCACGCCACGTCACGTCACGACGCGCCGCGGGTTGCGGGATTGAGCCGAGCCGAGGATAGAGCTATGCATGTTGTCTATATTTTTGCTGCATGGGAAAATTAATGAGTCATTAATTAATAATTAACGGGCGCGTTAATTACTGAACCGTTTCCGATTATTTTGGATCGTGACGACTCGAACGTGGGGTTTACTCCCACGACCTACCCGGCCCGCATTATATAGTCAGGCAGACGTCTACCCCCTTAGCCGCCGCCGCTTCGTATGGTTTCTCACCACCGTTCCAGATCATTGCGCCGCCAAGCAAGTCTTCTCCATCCATCCTTCCGGCGTGCACCGCGAGAAGGGACAGCAGGCCTCCGGAACCGCGCCTCTCGTGATCCTGTACGGGAGAGGGGCGATCAGGTTTTTGGGGAGCGCACTCGCGCGACTGCTGGCAGCGACGACTTCGCGAACGACGACTTCTTCCCCGACCTCGGCAACCTCGTCTTCGACGACATGGGCGACAACGTCAACGCCGGCGGTGCTGCACCCGCTGCACCGTCTGTGATTCTATCCTTCCTATTCGAGATCGTGGTAGAATTCATGCTTCTAGTATGTGCCCTAGATGTGATATGTTCATCTGCTATGCTAATTCGTATGATTAGTTTAATCTCTGCTACTGTGGTCATGATTTATCTTCTATTTATTTGGATTAAATCTCATAGTAATTTGCTCATATTTCCAACTCAAGAACCCAAACACATACTACTCAGACTCCGCTGCTACTATGTCCACAACTTGGAAACTAACATAACCAGCAAGTTCCCATTATTTTCCAAAACATGCATTGTTGCACCTCATATCCTCACCTGAGGTAGACGAAGTTATCAACGCTCACACGCACAGTAATTTTCTTGTGCATTTTATAGCTATTCCATACACGTGAAGTGCGAGCACCTAATAAGCGAAACAAACCCCAGCTTGCCTGCTCATCTCAACTGGAAGATCGTCTTCAATCAGAAGAGTTTATCTATTGGATCGGATGGCTAGTTTTCCCGTGGCCCTATTATTTCTGATGAAGGAGGGGCGAATGCATGCCTCCTTGAGCGTACAGCTTAGCTTGCAACCGGCACATTTCCCGCGCGGGTGATGTTGTGCTCGGAGGCAGCCGCCCCGTGGCGCTGCTCGTTTCTCGCAGCACGTTCCTTCAGGATCTTGGTGTTAATCCTCTCACGCACCTCGTCGGTATCGATCTTCACAGCCCTGCACTCCTCGCTGCAGAATGGCGTGTCCCCTCTGTGGTTCGTAGTGAGAAGAACGAATCGCTGGATCAGAATAGCACTAGTATAGAGTGTGTGCATATATGGGCGATCTGAGAACAGCAGCAGCTAATTAAAGGAGCAAACAAATCCGTAAAATTAAACTACCTGTAGATGAAGACGTCGAAATCTCTGGAGAGCGGCTTCCCGCAGAGGTAGCAGGCGTCCATGGCGTGGCGGCTTGTCGCACCACCGCGGTCGAGGGGCACAATGGCGAAGAGAGAAGAAGCGGAGGCAGGCGACGACGGCATCTCAGCTGCAACCTGGGGTTTTGCAGGTTGGTTTAACTTAACAGGTCTTTGATTGATTTCGGTGCTGAGGTCTAGGTCTAGACTGAAGTGAAGGAGCCTTTTCTTCTTATAAGGGGGGGAGGGAGATCGGGGAAAATATTTGGTTGCTGAGCTATAGGTGCGGGACGCGCGAGAAGAGAGAAAACACGGCTGGATTTCCAGGAACTCTTCTTGTACACGACGCAGGGCGAAAATGGCCGTAGCGGCGCGGCTAGGGCCAGGGCCAACAAGAAACCCTGCCTGCAGCGCGCCGGTTTTTGTTTGCTTACTCTGCGTATCGGTCTCAGCCCTCAACTCGTGCCTCGTTCCTGCCGGTGCAATGCTGCCGGACCCGCCGAAATATTGCTAAGAAAATGGACGCCCGGTTCTTTTCTTTTTCTTTTTCAAATTGGATTTTATGGTGAAGAGTTCTTGCACCGTTGCCGTGTGGCCACGTGTTGAGCGCGCCAGACAAGGACACTTCAGATTAGAGCGTAAATACAAATTGGCAGCACAGCACTGAATATACTTTGAACCTTTGCTTTTTTGGTTCTTCTAAAACTAAAGAAAAGCCTTTGGCTTCTAACACAGCGCAGCCAGGAGCTCAGGCTCGCCCCTTGTTTAATTTAAAAATGCCGCGGCATGGTTTCCCGGCCGGGTTGTTTATTAGCGGGTGAACAGTGAAAGATTTGTCGCTGACATTACAATTAGCATAGGCCAAGCACGACGAGGTGGAACGCACCGCTTGCTCCGGGAAAAGAATATGGTTATTATTTGCCCGCCCCGTACCTAGCCTTCTAGAGCCTGCACCGATGCCTGCCCGCTCTCTTGGCTCGGGAGGTCGACAGAGAAAGAGACGAGAAAGGGAGAGGAAACCGTGCGCACGGAGCAGGGGAGGGGGTGGTAGTACCGATGGCGACGCACGCACGCGTTCTACTTTTTGCTCGCGTAACCACGTCGTACGTCCACCCCTCGTCTCGCCGTCGCGCGTGCATGGGAGGCATCGCCGGGGGAGCAGACGGAGACGGACAGTTCTCTGTGGATCCACCCACGGCGCATCTGCCAAGTTGTTGCTGCTTGCTTGACCCGGCTAGGAGGTCAAGCTGACTGTCTTTGATGATGCAGGAGACTGAGTGACTGACGATGACACATTGTTTCTGTTCGAGGCGATGACCGACCCTGTGGTCAAGCTGACTGTTCCGTGCGCGTCCTGAGAGGAGTACCATTGCAGAAGGAATCATTTGCTTGTGTTCACACGTCAGAAGAGTAATTTCGTAAAAAATACTCGGATCCCTACGATTTTCTTTGCGTGATTTGTTCACCTAGTCTGAACCTCTTCGGGTTTTTCTTTTCGAACTAGCAAAAAAACCCGTGCATTGCAACGGAAGAAAAAGATACCACATATCTGTCATCCAAATAATCATGAGTCAATCCTCGTGTTTGCTATTGACGACCCCGCGACATAACCCCTCCCGCGAACCCCGCATTGCCTTCCCCGGCGGCGGCGGGGAACCCTAGCCGCGCCGCCACGGCCCCCTCCCCACCTCCTCGCCGCCGCCTGAGGCAGCCGTCGGTATACCTGGCCATACCTCGGGTCGGGCCAGGCTTCGGGCCGGGCCTAGCCAAGCCCGGCGCAAAAAATCCAGGCCCGAGCCCGGCCCGGCCCGGCCGTCGGGCCTGTTTTCTGGGCCCAAGCCCGACCCGAACACGTAAAATCCCATCGGGCTTCGGGCCGGGCCGGCCCGTCCTTCGGAAAAACACAAAAACAATGGGCCCGGGAGCGGCGTCGGGCTTTTTTGGGCCGGGCTGCCCATGGCCAGGACTAGCCGTCGGGCAAGCCCGGGGTGCTAAGGATGGTGGTGGCGGGGCCTCGGCTGCCCTGCCTGTATGGGGAGTCCCGGATCTGGAGCGGCGGCTCCTCTAGCGAGGCACGGCATGCTCCAGCGAGCAGCCGTGCGGGCGGTGGATCTGGCGTCCTCGCCGCCCGGGCGGCAGGATCCTGGTGGTCGTTGGCGGCGGGCGGCGGCTTCTGCGGCGGTCGGTGCGCGCGATCTGACGCCTCCCCTCCTCCCCTGATAGGCGTGCGGGCTAGCCTAGTGGGGCCGCACCTCCCTTGGTTGCCGATTCTGTACAGGAGGCGCTGCTGGTGGCGAGGGTCTAGTTCAGACGAAATCCCTGGTCGGCCATGACCGGCCGCGTCGACGGCGACGCCTGAGGGCGCCGTTCTCCTCCTTGGAGGCGTCGGTATGGACCGATCTCCTCACTTCCCCTTCCCCTTGGTCCCCCGGGTGAAAGCCCTAACTTTGTTCGGCAGCGGCGGCACTCATGGCGTCGTTCCTTTCTTGAAGGCACCGTTTTGGGAACCTTGGGGTTGGGTGGCGCTTGCGGGTGGTGGGCGACGGCGGTGGTGCGGTCCTATCCTAGCATGGATCTACATCCGTTGCTTGGAGATGGATTCACGTCCGTGAAGGTCGACGTTTGGCGTCGTGGTGGCGTCGATGACGGAGGACTTGCCAAGGCTCGCGTAGGTGGAGGTCGTCGTTTGGCGTCGTGGTGGCGTCGATGGCGGAGGACCTTCCAAGGTTGACACCTCAATCTGCTCTGAAGATGGACCAGTGGAAGATGGCGGCAAAGACACATGTGAGTGCGTCGGACTGGTTTGTGTCCCGGACCTGGCAGATGGCTTGGTCAGGTCCTCCGGCTTTAGATGTTAGGTTTAGGTGAGAGGTCTGGGTATGTGGCCCAGCTTGCACCCCTTCATCATATGTATAGAAGTAGTGGCAGATTGTCAAGATAATGAATTCATGCATATTATTGTTCTACTTTGTAAGGTCCTTAAGAATAATCAATAAATGAACCGCATGCATCTTCCAAATACAGAGATCGGTGGTTATCCTCCTTCTCTAAAAAAAAGAAATCAATAGATTCATACTTTTTATTTCAACATGACATCCTATTTTGTTGCCATTTGTCTGTCGTCGCATTCTTGCATACAATTATCATACTGCTTATAGAACCACAACGCGCTTGAATGTGTCAATTGTAAGCCGTCTCTCTCGTGGCATAAGATGAGGTTTTCCTCTTGCTATATTTATTTTGTCTTCAATTTGTTTGTGCCCTATTGATTAAAGTTGCACTGTAAATAGCATTTTAAAAATAGTTAACAGTTAAAAAGAACAACATATTTAGATTCTACATATTTTTATAATCAAATTTCAAATATAACATCTTAAAATTGGAGTGATGGTTTAAAAGATATAGCTATTTCAAAATATAAAACATTTGTTCTGCGTAAACCGCGGGTTAATTAGCATATGACATGGTATTTCCTAAAAAAATACAAAAAAAAAACGATTCAATTTATCACTTAAAAGTGAACTTCAGGTTGATTACCTGAAAGTGTAGGCGGATTTGTGTAAAATCTGAAATGCCGATGATGTACGGGCAAAAGCCATAGGCGCATTATTATTAGGTAAGACTACCAAAACTCTCATTTTCGTGAAAACGTGAATAATTTTTTAAGTCATGAACATTTTTTAAAATCATGAACATATTAGAAATCTTGAATAATTTTCAAATTCATGAACATTTTTACAGATTTTCATACATTTTCTGAAATCATGAACATTTTTTGAATTCATGAACACTTTATTCTATTTGCGGCTATTCTTTTTTAATTGTGAACATTTTCTAAAACATTTTGCTTGAATAGGCGAACATTTCTAGAATCGACAAACCGTTTTTCAAAATATGGTGGAAAACAACTTATGAAAATCACGAACACTTTTTTGATTTAATAAATATTTTTGAAATGCATGATCATTTTTTCAATCAGCGAATATTTTATGAATCAATAAACCATTTTGTAAGTCACGAACAGTTTTTAATATTTCGGATATTTTTTAATTCATGAATATTTCTTCAATTGGCAAATTTTTGTTCAATTTATTTTACATTTTTTATACAATACCTTTTAGAAAATCCTGAACATTTTTTTATTTTCTGAACAGTTGTTTTCTAAATTGGGAACATTCTTTGAATATCCGAACATTTTCTAGAAACTACAAACATTTTCTGAAGCCACAAACATTTACGAATTGTTATGTATTTTATTTTAAAATTCTCGTTTTTAAAAGTTTTTGAAGTTTTTTCAAGTCCCAAATTTTTTAAAGTATAAAAAAAATGAAAATGAAAAATGAAATTTCAAAAACAGGCTGCCTGGACATGGGCCCGCCCAAACATGCGTGCTATGTCCTGTCCCAGCTCACAGAGCACAATATAAAAGGTTCCTACTGCATGGGCAGGCCCAGGCAGGGATTCTCTGCGTGAAACGTTTTTTATCACTTATAGGTGGCATCGATGGGTAATATTTTGCAACTTTGAGGCAATTTCGATGACATACCACCAAACGCAATAGCCTCTTTACTAGTAGGCATAGATATAGATATAAAAACCTTGGCATAGCACGCGAACCACGGAGGTTGTTGAACCAGACAAATGTGGTGCCAGGGCTATATATCGCCTATTGTGATGCTATTTTCTGTCTCCTCTCAAGGATATTCACTTCAAGATTTTATCCGATCACTCCAATATGCATTCCTGTGGCAGTGGTTTTTAGGCGTGCTTTTTTTCCTGTGTCGGTCTTCATCAGTATTACTTCCAGTTTTCTTGGTTTTCTATGTTTCTTTAGTCAGATTTTTTTGTTTTCACAGATTTCATTTTATTTTATTTCTATCTGGTTTTCAACGGTTTTCTATGCCGAATTTCAATGGATTTCTTTTGAGTTTCGGTTTATGTGTTTCACGCAGGTTTTCTTCAAATTTTATCTTTTAACATTCTTATTCCTTTTCCAACACATGTCAAATTACTTCACACATATTTTACATTTTTGTATATACCAGGAATATTTATTATATACTCTAACATTTCTAAAAAACATTATTCTAACTTTACTACATTTTCATCTTTAAATATTTTTCATA